TGTAACATTTTTACAAAGAATGAATACATATTAGAAAAATCATACAACAAAGGGAGTTATTTCAATTTTGTTCAAACTAGAATCAATTCTTCAATATCGCACTTAAATATAGAATTTCATTGAAATCCATTCTACTATTATAAAATACTGTAGGATCAGGAAAGTGATAAATATTAACAAATTAAACGGAATATAATTAAACCAAACTTTAACACTTTAAACTAAACAGCCATTAATGTTACACGTCGGTATTCTTAAATGTACGTCTTCGCGTTTCGACCTTCGCCATTCGACTGACTATCGATGTTTATCATCGCTTGGCCCGTTGCGATGATAAACATCTCATCAATTCACCCTTGCTCCGCGACGAGCTTCGGCCCGGTCAAGCCACGTACACAGGTACTCGCCGATGCACCCTGCTTCTCCCCTTTCTACACTCCCCTCCCTACAATACGTATAAACATATGTTCATTTAAGAGAATATTTTTTCCAATACTAGAAACATGAGGCAGCCTTAAAAATAAAAACATTAATTTTACAATTTATGAATTTATAATCTAAACTGACTTACAGAAAAGAATAACCGACGTGAGACATTTGCTGGGTAGATGCTTGTGTATTAACTGACACGGAGTAATGGGTAACAAAGACTTTATTATTCTGTCAAGGCGGAAGACAAGTTACTTGAGTCAAGGCTCAGCTAGTTTTCTCGTCTTCGCTTTCCAGTCACCCTCGTTCGCACTGGCAAAATTATTAAACAACCCTGATTGGTTAACCCCACGCGTTAGGCCTTTCCAATCAGGGCCGTTTATTTTTCCCAAATCACCGCCTATTTCTTACGCCCTCGGCGTGCTTGTTTTCGAAACAGCGTGGTGATCGAGGAGGACGACGTTGCGACCTCACTGCAAGATTTCCTTCGGGCCACCCGCGCTGGGCCCACTTGGCGAAACTCCGATGGGAACGCTTCGAGTGTCCTCTGGAAATCCCTAATTTATGATGGTCTCTATTTGCTGTTGAGGGACTTAGGAAAAGAATTTACTAAACACATTCGATACGCGAATCTGGAAAATATCTGCCTCAAAAACAGCTTCGACGAACGAGAGTCGTAAATTACGTGGGCCGTTTGCACGAGAGAAAAACTTTCCCATGTGCGCACGACCGATCGCTACACATTTATCGAACATTGTACACGAATCGAGTAATAGTAGAATCAATTCCAATAGCTCGGTTTTTAAACAGAGACTGTCCTTTGTGCACAAAAACTGCATTTGATAGAAACCACATTCCTAAAAGTGAATTTCTACGTGAGTCGCTTTAGTTGACCAATGTCAAAGTGCCTAGATGCTTTTAAAATTCCTGGTGAAATTAACTCGAGGCATTTTTCCGCCGCCTCGCGTAACGTTGCCTGAATTTACGGTAAACGAAGAAACGGGAGGCGGAAATTGCTTACACAGGAAGAAACGAATCTACCGTTTCCGGGACGTTTAACTTGTAAAAACCGCGAAACGCAGCCATCTCCTCCAGGGGACAAATTAAACTAACAATCGCGGATCGAAAACAATCATCACCGTTAATATCCTTATTACAAACTTCATCCCTCGATTTTCCTCGCGCTAGAGAACGTCCATTATAAAATTGTTTCAATTATTGCGATCTCGGAAATATTAACCAGCGATTGCGGGGAAACTCGTAGCCAGCTTAATGAAAATGACTTTGGTTGAATTATCAAGAAAAGTTGGAAATGATCGCTCACAATTGAATGTTAATTAATATCGTGGGAGTCTGTTGAGGTCGAATATCGGTAGAACTCGGGAAATAATAAATAAATGTACAAAATAGACTATTTTAAACACGGTAATATTACTAGAAAATGCATTGAGAATTATTACTGTTCAGTTACTGCGCAAGTTCAATATGTACAGAATTTTGATCCGAGCAAATGAAATAACACACTAATTCCCTCTATTTCGAACTGCAACAACATATTTGCTAACAGTTATATGGAATTACAGTAATCCCTCGGTATTATTCGCAAAGTCATCCCCACCAATTCATGAAACTGCAATGTTGCAAACTTGGGTATTATTGTAGAGCTAACCAACCTTCCTCGAAATCGTAAGAAGCATCATTCTCGATAATTCTAAATTTCGTAGAAGCGAATACAAACTCGAATTGGCGTCACGACTTCGATCCTGCGCGACCAAATACCCGCTAATCGACCTGGCACCAGCAGGACACATCTGTTCGTTATGCTAAATGATAATTGAAGGTCCAGATGCCAAGATCAAAGGATCGTGAGCGCTGCTTTGATGAAGGATCGTGTATCGACGCACTCGAATCGATTAGCATCCCAACGTGGTCCTAACGTCGGCCCACTTAACGTAATTGCTAATCCTCCGAGAACATAGATCTCCGCGTGCCAGTCTAATCCGTTAACGGTTAACCTATCCGTGGAGGCGGAGACTTTCGCCGTGCCATCGCTAAGAACATCCGACGAGCGTCGCTTTAATTAATATACAATTACAAACAGCGAAGGTGCACGCAGTTTCCTAAATCTGATTCGCGTTTTCCCCGAAACGCTTCTTCGCCATCATTTCTCTGACCCTTCGCGTAATAGAAAACGCGATTTAATTGGTTCGATGGGTGGAAGTCGGTCGAGGAACAATTTACGAGGACGCGATTGGATTTTAATGAGTTCTTATTCCTGGAAAAATTATCGTTAAAGTCGCCTTTAACCATAAAACGCCGGAGACGGACGAAAAGGAATTCTTATATGGACAAAAATTTCAGACAAATGAAATATAAATAATTTTTTGGAACAATGAAATTTCCAATCCTTACGATATTTATTCATTTTTTCGTTACGTGCAACAACTACGAAAACAATTTTTCGTGACAGTAAAATTCGTAAGTCCTGCGATATTTATGTATTTGTTTATAATGTGCAATATGAATTCGTTTATAATATGCAATATGAAGGAATCGAAACGTTGAAATGTTTGAAGCAGCTCCAGTTGGTTTTTCCTAGTGACATACTTGTATATTGTGATAGAAAGTATATAAAAAATTCTTCGTACCCTATACAGGGTGTTTGGCCACCCCTGGGGAAAATTTTAATAGAACATTCCAGAGGACAAAATAATAAAATCAAGAATACTAATTTGTTGATGGAAGCTTCGTTAAAAAATTATTAACGTTTAAAGTTCCGCCCGAACTAAATTTTTTCTGGAAAATGGGTAGGATTTCGGAGGTAGGTCTATTCACCAAAAATTATTGTAATTGACCCCCGCAACCGAAAATAATTTTTTCAGAACGATTTGAAATTTTTTTCTTCGTGGAGAAAATTGACCACCTACCCCCTGTTAAGGATTCTGAAGGAACCTTAACATCGCGAGGTTTATGATACGGACGTGACTTCTCCGCTATTTTTGAGGATTAGGCCTTCAAGACATTTTTACTTGATAAATTAGGATACGGCCATTGAGGAACCTCCAAACTCCACACGGGACTTGGAATCCTTGGAGCTCTTCCTTGCCTCAATAGCAATTGACGTATCGTAAACCCGCGTTGGCACACAGCTGCGGACCACCGGGGTCTCGCGGTCATTGGGTATTCCCAATGTTAATAATAATGCAGCGTTCTCGCTCACTCCTGCATGGTCTACCTGGACACTGGACAGGAGGGTGGGCGGGAATGTTGCAAAATGCAGGAAACGTCCTGCCAAGGTGACAACTTTGAGGATTGGCTTGACCAATCCTCCTACCGGTTCGCGTTGCGCGTTTTCGTCACCTTGGCAGGGGAAACCGAGCTTAGGTTAAGGGTAGTTTTACTTCTTAGCATTAGATTCGTTTGATCGAGCCTTACAAACTCGAGTCGACTCTCCGCAAGTTTAGAATCATTCTTGTGTAATTAAAAAGAGCAACGGGCTCTTCCTTGAAGTAACGGGCTTCAAGTTTACCGGTATTTTCCCAAACACCAGTTTGGGTGGTCCTTCGAGAACGGAAAGGGAACAGTACGGAGCTGTGTAACGCACGGTCCGCGCACTACAGAGGAAGAGGGCATAGTAGCTTCGCCGCCGAAACACCCCCTATCGATTTTTCTTAAAAATTTCGTTTTTCATTTTTAATAAATTTGTTTGACGCTCTACAGAAAAGTTGTTTAATACTTTTTTGGAGGTATCCATGAGCAGTACGTCAGAAAAAAGGTTCGTTGATATAGAGTCACTATTGTAGGAGTTATGGCTGTTTGAAAATTGGACCAGTTTTAGGGGTTTTTTTTCACTTTACGGTGTCAAGGAAGAACTTTCTCAATATTGTTAAAATTTCTACATATTCCTCACTAAAATACGCGGTGTTTGCATTTTGAAAAATTAAACTCCTTCAATCCGTTAAGGAGTTATGTATATTTAAACATATACATGAATTTCGGAGGACCATTTTTGGCCTCATATTATATTATCGACAAAGAATTTTAAACTGCCAAGTGGGTTTTGTTGCACAAAACAAAAAATTAATTTCCTCGTGAAAAACGTGAAGTTTCAAAATTAATTTCTACACGATTCGATTCAACCTAAAAAATGTTACAAATATAATATATTATTTCAAAATTATACCGAGAAAATTACTATTGCCTGGTTTTCACTCTCTTCAAAAATCATTTCAAGGTCAACCTATCACGATTAGATTTGTCTTTTCATCATTTAGATTATGTAACAGAATAAAATTGAGGATCTTGAATGACATTTATCCCTTCCAAACAAATACTATTTTCGTCCAACGATCAAAATGTTTCACGGTTGACAATAATTATACCAACTAATTAATTCTGCCAAAGAATTTGTTTCCCGTGGACGTGCTGGTGCTGAGAGCGATGAAATCAGCTACGGGAGACAAACGATCCGCGGCGAGGATTCAACCGTGTGATTTACGAAACACGCGCGACGAAGGCTCGTCGTTGGTAGATTTACTGCGTCGTCGATAACCCGACTTTTCTGCCCGCAGGTAAATCGACGGGGCTAGTGACGACCACCAGGGTGACGCACGCGACTCCAGCGGCGCTTTACGCCCACGCAGCCAGCCGTTATTGGGAGGACGACGGCAAGGTGCCACCTGCTGCACGAACCTCTTGCAAGGACATCGCTCGTCAACTGCTCGAGGACGAACCTGGTCGTAACATTAACGTATGAAATTATATTTTAATGTAACCGTCTCTATAATCGTAAAATCACAGCCAAGAAACCTGGCCAAAACGATCAAAGTCTGACAGAAACACAATTTATCCAACGAGAATGCCAGACCTGATACTCACCGATTGCAATGATATTTTGCAGGCTTGTAGATTCGCGAGTACGACAATCGTAAACAAAGTTACAACCGCAGATAGTTAGCCAGTTATGAGAAAATTAAGTGAAAAGTTTAAATAATTGCTTACTTAGTGTTTATTACAGTGATAGATCATTTAATTTTAGACTAACTTTGGCATAGCGTTCAGCGTAGGAAGATAGTAATAGTTTGTTCAGGGTTCAAATCCCCATGATCTATAGAATATTTTTTTTCCTTTTTTGTTATCAATCGTATTATATTATATTATTTTTTAACACCTGATTAGAAAGATTTAATAATTTTGACTATTTTTATTATTGTTTGCAATTATATTTTATTGTACTGTATAAATCGTTAATAAAAGTGTGCCCATATTTATTACACGGATTGTGATAGAATAAATAGAAGATAACAAGTTATGAGATTCAACCGACAGATGCATTTCGATCGCAGAAATAACCAGGTTAATTTGTTAACACATGCTTTTTGATCGTTAATAAACAATACCTTCGTTCCATTTTTCATCTATATTTTCACCGGAATTGTAGCAGAAAACTAAACACGCGGAACAAAAATTTTTAAGAACACATATTTCTACTTTGTAACTATTTTTATTAAAAATACGTGGCCGAATTTTACGCATAACTGCATACTATCGGCGTTTCGAAAATATTTAATGGAAATGATACACTGGAAATCGACATGGCGTTCAACCCCCGTGATTTATTGATCATGTTTCGCGACACGTGCAACGCGATGTAATATAACTGCAGAAAAAGAACATTTATTGAATTGGAAAGCGTCGTTCGTAGCCGAGAAATTAATTTCTGTCGGACAAAGGATCTGGAGGACAATGAAATATTCGCAAGCATTCGCGTAGCGACGCACAAATCGTGCTTGAGAATGCCAACTCGAGAGTTCTTGAGATTTTTTATCGAATTTCTATTTCCTTCTACAAAGAAAACAATGTTCTAATATTTCGGGATCACCGATTCTCAAAGAAAATTGTTATCAGTCTCGAAAAATTTGAACAACTTTATATTATTATTCACATCCTTAATTAAAATAATTTTGTCGTTCCTAAAAAAAACAAAAAAATAAATTGTAAATAGGATAAGTAATATTTTTCTTCTTTTATATTACTTTGTGTATTATATTCCTCTCACTTATGAAATAGTCTACAAAAATCTACATGGTTATACTCAAATTTTTAATTCGTAAAAATTTTCAAACACATTTAATATATTTCTTGTTAACAAAATTATTTTATGTTCAGTTATGTTACGTAAGTAATCATGATATAATTTTACAAAAGTTCTTAAAATAAAATCATAGCATTTCGAAAAGTTCAAAATAAAATAATTTTGAAGCAATATTTGAGGTGACACTTGTGAACACTAGATTCACTTTTACGTATTTTAGCATATATTTTATTTACACCTCCGTCAATAATTAAAATTTGAAAGGTGTACTTTTGTAACTCCATAATTAAGATAATAAAAAAAGAAAGGTTCGTGTTTTTTTCTCCCATCGAAGAATCCATTTCCGTATGAAATTTCGCTGGTCCCACGTGTCGAATGAAACTTCTGTTTCCTCGTTAAAATGAATCTCATAGTTGAGACAAGATCCTCGTTTCCATGATAATGGAACTTCCAATTGTATCGAACGGACTTAGCGGAAATCTTGGGACGACCGATTATGCGTTTTCTAGTGCGACGTCGCTAGGTCGGTGAACGGAAATAGAGATCTTGGGCGAGTCGATTGGTCTGGAGGGACCGTTCATGACGTTTCTTCGTCGACGTAACGGGAGAAAAAATGCCTCGACCTGGAGAAAACGGTCACGGCTTTTGTACGGAAGCTCCATGCAAAACTTCCTGCTTGTTAAAGTCTGCCCGGTCGGAATTCTCGAGAGAGTTTCCCCGCAGATTGGAGAAATTAAAGGTTCACGGGGATGACTTTCCCAGCGGAGCGGTGCTTTCCAATCCAGCAGGCAGATCGGACGAACAGGATAAAATTTATTTTACGAAAGTTGATCGCGCTCCTTTACTCTCTTTTGACATTTCTTATCTGCTAGTTCGTAGTCGAGACTTCAAAAGGTCATTCCCGAATCACAAACAACCTATTACGATAGTTACTCGTTAAAACGTCGGATTTGTACCTCGATAAAACATACTCGACTCGATCACTTACGTCAAGGACAGCGAATCAGGGTTTCTTATCTGCTAATTCATAGTCTGGGATTTCGAAAGATCGTCTTTGAGTCGCAAAACATTTATTACAGTACTCCCTCATTAAAATGTCGCATTTGTACCTCGATAAAACGTACTCAACACGATCAATTACGTGAAGGACCGCAAATCAGGGTTTCTTATCTGCTAGTTCATAGTTTGGAATTTCCACAGATCATTCCTAGGTCATAAAACACCTATTGTAGTACTTCCTCGTTAAAACATCACATTTGTACCTCGCTAAAACGCATTCAACCCGATCAATTACATCACGGATCGGAAACTGCTGGCACTTTATTGTTTTATTTATTTATTTAGCAAAATTGATCTCCTACCTAGTAGTAGGTTTTGGAAAGATGAAATTTCTGATCAAATACTGTGCCCAATTTCTTTTATAAACCAACTTTTCAACTCAGGGTACATAAATGTATAAAGGTATGATTCGTGGTACGATCGTAACTGAAGCACTTTGTCAATGCTACAAGTAGATTGAAAATGTGAAATGAATTGTTTTTTGTACGAAGTTTCGTTTTCAGAGGAAATTCGGTTCAGAGAATTTGTCGAGGACAGGAATACGTGAAATGGAATTTGATTTCAGATTTTTAATTTACGTTTGAGGTAGATATCACTTTCTGATTGGATGTGCTACGAACTGTAACACATTTAGTATTGATCCTGTGTAAATTTCCTCCGCTTTCACCAGTTTGCAAATACTTTTAATTTTGATGGAACATTTTTCTCATTGGAAAACTTGTAGTCTTTTTATGGAGACTGCCGATCATTTAAAAAATTCGTGAATTAGTGGAAAAAGTCTGTACTAGTCAGGCAATTTCTTTCTGACAGAGTTTGTTCTATTGTCTAAATTAACAGAAATATTTTGCTTTGGTAACTCTTTTTACAAAATCTTATGCATTAAAAATTTATTTGATATCAAGTGATGTAAACATAGTAGAGGGTAAAAGATTCACATACGAAGTCATAACCTAGCGTTAGTGCAAAGAGACTTCCTGAAACAGATGAAAATTCGTGTTTGGGTAACTCCTTATGGAAAGTGAATAAAGTCCTTTGGTTTGAAGAAGATGAACGACTGTAAAAATTGCAGAAATTTCGTGGAACGTATTTATGTAAATTGTATGCATCCGAAATTCAATATTTTATTATGCTAAGACGCGGAGTGCATGGTGTTTCATATGAATATGCTGCGCCAAAACCTTGTCAGCATACATGTTTTTTAATTGCTTGCTTACCATGGCAAGATTTAGGCGACTTCCAAACATTTATACATATTTCGTCTCACGATATCTGAAAATTGTAAAATTTTAAAGGAAATTATCTTACACTATGTAAAACTGGAGAAATGCACATTTATAAATTCGCAGAGTAATACTGTATTAAACAATTTGCAACAATTATTAAACTTAGGTATTGTTACTGCAATAACTAGAATGTATCATTAAAATTTCGTTCTGAAAGCATTTAAAATCAAGCCTTAATAATTGTTGCAGACAAGGATAATAGAAAATTAAAAAATATGAAGGTTATTTGTCGCGAACGTCAATAAATTCCGTTTCAGTTTTAATTAAAGATTGTAGCAGCATTATGTTCCAAGACTTACGAAGTCCAGTTTAATTTTTTTAATAAAATTGTTGTGTGATTTCTGTCCAACGAACATGGTTTCCAGATTAATACAAAATATAATATATAAAATAAAAGTTACAACGCCGTTTGTCGTTTACGATTGCGTTGAAATAGTGGATAAATTGCGTTGAAATGTTGCAGTTGTTCCGTCCGAAGGAACACAATACGCGAATATTTCGTTGTCAGTTTATGATAGGTCCGCGACGTAAAGCTATTTTTGAGAAAAGACATTTTATTCCATTGCCGGCAATAATCATTTAACTTTTCGTATAATCAACTTAGAATTTTACGTTCATTTCGTTCTCAATAGCTCAGCCGGTCATACAGTCGCGTCGGTATTTAAGTTGACACTTATCATTTTTATAAAATAGCCGTAAAAGGATACAATAAAAATAAATAAAATACGAAATGTTTACAAAAATAAATTTATTCGTGTCTTAAGTAAATAATGTCACCTTATTAATTATGTTCATTTGAGTAACAATAGCATTAACAAATATTTTCTAATGAACGTCTATCGGAAAGTAAGTTGACAATGGTTATAAAGTAAATTATAATTCTATAAGTAACAGTAAAAAAAATATTTAATAAGCAGTTTGATACCCTTTGGCTTTAATTACTTCCAGTAAACGATTTGGCATACTGTGTATTAATTTTTTTAACGTTTTGGGCTGTATTTCATCCCATGCCTTTTTTAGTGCGGCTATCAATTTTGGTTTTGTATAGCGGTCCGATTTTGGTATTTTTCGATGGAGTTCGTCCCATAAGTGCTCGATCGGATTTAAATCAGGGCTCTGCGGTAGCCAAGAAAGCAGCAATATATTGTTTTCGTCGATAAATTTTTTAACGATCTTTGCAGTATGTTTCGGATCGTTGTCGTGTTGGAATATGTATCCTGTATCTGGCCCAAATTTTTGAATTGATGGAAACAATTTTCTTTTAGAATATCGATGTATTTCGCTGCTGTTAATATACCATCAATAACTGTTAATTTTCCTACATTTTCATTGTTGAAGCAGCCCCATAACATTATAGACCCTCCACCGTGAAACACGGTGGAGGTGATAACATTTTGTTTAAAAGCTTCTCCTTTTTTTCTCCACACATATTTCCTTCGTTTGTTTGATTGTAATTCAAATTTTGACTCATCACTCCAAATTATGGATTCCCAGAATGCAGTCGGTTTATTAAAATGCTCTTTTGCAAAATTTAAACGTTTGCGAGCATTTGTTTCGGAAATGTGTGGCTTCTTCCTAGATATTCGACCATGCAACCCAGCTTCGTATAAACGGGATTTTATTTGAGTGGTCCCTATTGGCAAATTTAAATCTTCTTTGATCTGTTTGGCAGTAATAAATGGTTCCTTTTTTGTTATTTTAACAATTTCTCGATCCTGACGGGGAGTTGTTTTTCTTTTTCTTCCCGTTCTAACTAAATTTTCAGGTTTCCCAGTAGTCTCTATCTTTTTATAAATTTTTCGCCCCCCTTTCTTTGATATCCCAAAATCTGTGGCAATCTGTTGCAAACTTTGGCCTTCTCTCCTTCTTTTATAAATTAATAATCTTTCAGACTCGTGTAATTCCCGTATTTTCGGCATGCTACAAGTAACCAATTCTTAACAATAACAATACATAACAAAAAAAAACATTATATAAGAGACTAAATACATTATCAAATTATTAATTGCGCGTTTAATAGCAAAATTTTATTAATGAAATAAAAACTTGATTACGTCAACTTACTTTCCGGCGAACCAAATTTAGGAAATATTTTTACAGATTGACTGTTATTTGATTGTACGCGGTGTTTTCACTTTGACACTCACTGGTATACTGAGGCATGTCTTGTACATAATGTAAACAATGTCAGAATGTACGGAAGGACGCGTACAAGTGTTTAAATTATGGAACAATATCGTCAATACCAGAAATACAACAGCGTCAACATAAATACCGACGCGACTGTAAACTCGGTCTTCCGAAGGGTACGTCAAAAACGGGACTTAGACCTTCGAGCGGAAAAACCCAGAGGAAAGCCGCGACATTGTCGGATTTCGAAACATTCGCGTACAACCAGGTATCGCCCCACTCTCTCCTAGAAGAAGGCGCGCCAAGGGCGCATAGAGGGTGGTGGCAATGCCTAAGGGGGCACGTTGATTGGGTTTTTTGATTTCTAAAAATCACCAAACATAGTGTTTCCCCATACTTCCAACGCCGCGAGGAAGTTCGAACAACGCCGACTAATCACTTTCCATCAGCGATTCGAGGCATTAACATCTCCACTGCTATTCCAGACACACGGTTCACTTCGAGTACCTTTTTCATTCGTTTAACGTTTCGACTTTTCCCCTTCGAGTCAAGCATTCGGACCGAAGGCTTAATGGGCCATTCTACCTTGTAGGCATGAAAAATACGTGTTTCTTTGTGATTTTTTTTTACGGGTTATTAAAGAGCGATTAATTCCGGATTTTGTAGATACATTTATTATATATTTAGCTATATTTACGAATTTTTGCAACGCATAATATCTATTGATTACGCTGTTTTTGTTGATCATCAAACAACAGTTTTTACGAACGGCACCCGACTGCGTACGTGATATCTTGCGAACAAGTTATTCGAAATCCTAAAACCAACGATATTCTTAATATAGATGAGTGTGGTTATAGCATGAACTAGGATCTTTTCAAAAAAACAAAAAATGGCAAAATGGCAGCTATTTTACGAAAAAATACTGAATATTTTCATATATTTGGTTGCATTTTTGTTAATAAAAGAAAAAGTATTGCATATATCGCAATTATCCTAGTTCATGCTATAGGGAGACCAGTTCTGAAGATACTGTATAAATTTGATGTTGATATCTTGAATAGTTTTTTAGTTATCACGCACGCAGTGCCGAAAAATGTAGTTTCGAGAAAAACAGCTTTAAAGTTTCACGTCCAGTTGTTATACCTGCGCGCGGTACATTTCAGCAGGTTATAACTTCGTTAGTTTTTCAAATTTCAATTTAATATTTGGTAGACATATTTTCGAGACTACATACTAAAGGAAAATGCAAAAAAAAAAATATCGATTTTTTTAATCCCACAAGGTAGAAAGGCCCCTTAACGTACGGCTAGTCAGCGTTAACGTTCATGCTGTGTAACATCTTAGAAACATTGTTTCCAGGTTAATTCCTTGAAACAACGCGTCGCGACTAACCGTTTACCAAGATCGAAGGTATCTTCAAGACTTACCATCTCGAAGACGGGCACCACCGTGCGGGATATCACGACGCGATCGCGAGATACGAAAACAACCTCGTATCGGAACAGCAGTTGATTTCTGAAATATTTGTAACGAGATATCGGTTCCCTGCTTCGTTCGCTGTTTTAATGTCGATTCGTAACTCCGAGTATCTCCGAAATAATAATTTTTTTTTAAATGATACGCAATTTTCCATGCGTGTTTTTTCGACGTTAAAATATAAAAGCAATGTAATCTAGGTCACCTGTTCACAGTCGTCTTTACATGGCGACTTCTATTCCGTGCATTACAAGAAACAAAAAAGCGAACGGAAACATGCAATCACTGAAATGGAAACTCTTTCAAGCAACGAAAAGACCGTTTCCCTTCAGTTGACTTTGAAATTCGACAAAATTGCTTTTGGAAACAGTTCTTTAATGGAACGCGAGCTGGCGTATGAGAACTTTCGAAAACAGTTTGGTCTAAAAATGGAAGGCGTAGAAGACCAATTCAATTTTCGTTGGATTCCAAAATATTGTATATCTCGTTACAATAATTAATGATTATGATGTTACGCGTCAAACATGTCGAACTAGTTTCAAAAAAAGGCGTTTTTAAAATGGGTATCAAATGGACGTAAATTAAAATAAATAAATTTCAAAATAAAGTTCCAGTATTCTTCGAATAAAATATTTTGTTTTTATAATTACACTACTACTTATAATTTATTATTTAAATGAGTATTTCACCCAACTCTGAATTGTAGACATTTTCATTGATATTCGATAATGCAAGTTTCCTTTTGTCAATATTCTTGCAACTATTTCCAAATACAAAGAATTATATCTGATTGGATAAATACCAGAGTTTCATTTCTGAAAACATCCGGTAAATTAGAATCTGTAAAATAAATATTTTAAACTGACATTCGAGGGGTTAAATCTACTTTTAAAACGAATTTAAAAGTTTGATTCGTTAGTCGAGAATAAAAGTTGCCCAATACTGGTAAATACACAGTAATTTACGGTGAACATATTTTCCATCGGTCAGAAAAATTGTCAACAACTTTAGAGGGCTCGTTATCCGATAGATTGAAACGGTGAATTGATTTCTTGCGCTGCTCTCTACAAAGAGTTTAAGGTTAATTCCAGGAATCCGATCTATACCAGAGCTCAGCTCGCCAATTGTTCGACTTTATTACTCGAAATCCACTTTTATCCGTCTCGAATAAAATACGCGGCAATAAAATCACGATCGATCCTAGGTGGTCCTTGGCGGGGGCAGGCGTCATTTCGTGCCGAAAGTGATCCAGGATCCCGAGGAGCCGGATAAGGAGGGCAGACGATTGGACGGGAGGAATCTGATCGAAGAATGGTCCAGAAACCACCGGTTGCGGAACGTGCCCGCGAAATACGTCACTAACAAGGAGCAGTTCGAGAACGTCGATCCACGGAAAGTGAACCATCTCTTGGGTAACGATCAGAAACATCTTTTTATTGTGTTCGATGTGACTCGAGGATTCGTTAGCAACGAATTTTAATGCCATCTATCACAGGGGTTTTCCTTTGTTCGATTTACAAATCAGTTTATTATTGAATCTTTTTAAATTCCTAAACAGTATCACTCGATTATCTGAAAAACATTAAGAAGAATAATGTAGCTCTTTGAAATATAAAAATATGAACAAGGTTTTACTTCCTTCTTTGTGTCACGACTAGTTTATTATTGAATTTTTTTAACTTCCTAAATAGTACCACTCGATTATTTGAAAAACATTTAAAAAAATAATGTAGCTCTTTATAAAATGCAAGGCGTTCAACCACTCCTGGAAAAAATTTTAATAGGAGATTCTAGAAATCAAAATAAGACGAAAATCAAGAATACCAATTTGTTGATTGAGGCTTCGTTAAAAAGGTATTAACGTTTAAAGTACCGTCTCTAGAACAGCAATCTGCGAACAGCTGCTAGTGGTTCTCACTGACAAAATTGTAAGGCTGCCAATACGTCACTAATTGTAAGCAGAGTTTCTCATGCTGAGTGAGAACCACTATCGCATGCACGCACAGCTGTTTGCAGATTGCCGTCCTACAGACGGAACTTTAAACTTTAATATCTTTTTAACGAAGCCTCAATCAACAAATTAGTATTCTTGATTTTCGTCTTATTTTGTCCCCTAGAATCTCCCAGGGATGGTCGAACACCCTATGTAAATATTGCATGACTAGGTTTTACTTTCTTCTTTGTGACACTTATACTATCATGATTGCGATAGAACAGTGCATCAATTTTATTTACGAATATGTACAAGATAATAATGAAACAAAGCATAATATAGTAGTGATTCTTAAAATGAACCCCAGACGTGATTCGTAAGTTGAATACCCTCCTTGGAGCCAGTGAAAGACGATATTTGAAACACGATACGAGCTGGAATAAAAGACAATCTCTTTTTCTCATTCGTTCTCATTCACTGTCCTTTTCTTCAGTCATCGACTGACGGTAAAAGATAAAGGAAATTCGACACCAGCAGGCATTGCTGAACATAATTATTTGCTGGTGTTCAATTTCGCCTCCTGTATGTGTTTGGGCTTCGGTGAGTCCACCAGGCTTATGACACCGACCGCGTTTTTGTCAAGGCCAACATGGGCAAAAGTTAGAATTTCGTTAATAGAACAAAGTGTCATAAACTTGATCGGCGAAGGCAGTCTCGAGTGGTTGCAACCCAAGCGGACTGTCGGATGGCCCACACGTGCTCGGATTCGTATACCTGGGCCTCCCTTGTTCGTAGTTAGTTTTGCACGCGGGCCCAGGGACCGACGCACGCGGTGGAAAATCCCCAGAGTTGCCAAACGTAGCACCCTCCACCTTGGACGCCAAGCTACAGTGACATCGTTACACCCCCGCCACGGAAACTCTTGTTGGAAGGGGGTGCAAAAGACCAACACCTTGGAAAAACGCCGGAACGCCGTCACTTCGTTTTTAACCTTCAAACACTTGGGTTTTAGCATAGAACCAAACCACTTCGTTTAGCATTTTGAACACTTCGTCTTTAGCATAGACACTAGCTTAGACTCGGTCACGTGTATTGTTTTGTTGAGTTTCAATAAATATAGAAAACCAATTCGTCTAGTTAGTCCCCTGAAAAAGGGGTGGTTCTTCAATATCCGAACGAGCCCGTCTCAACCACGGATTAAACACTATGAAAGATGAACGTGAGCGATGTTCATTTTAAGAATCATTACTGTACTACTTTCGTATATACACAGCGATGATACGGTTATTCTGCATGAAGAAGTGAATCGAAAGTATGCAATGCAATTTGTTCAAAGAATGTCTTATTACAAAAATTGACGGTGGTATTATATTGCCTATTTCTCGTTCGTCCTATCATTTGCTAATTATTTGAAATCAGCTGCAACAAATAATACCGTAGCAGCTTTCATGTTTCGAAGCACAGAACAAATGTGTTTAAAATAAATCTTTTTTCACTTTATGGTAAAACTGAACGAATTATCTGGAATCTTCTCGAGTCACTCTATAGGTCGCCATCAACCATGTCATTAAAAGAACTATTGAAATCTCGGTGCAAGTTTAAAAATAACGACTCCAGAACATTCTATTGTTCTTTATTCATGGGCGAACAAATAAAATCCGTTCGCACATACAAACACAGTTCCGGGTTCTCAAACGATCTATCTTCCAATACTCGCGCGGAACCTTTTCGAAATTATTACATTGTCACTGATCTTTTATCAGGGAACAATAGCAGATTGAAAAATATCAGAAATAATCATGGGTTTGTGCGTAGCTCCGTTTCTCCGTTTTATCGATTCGTTTTGATGATCGTGGCGACTGATCCTATAATGACAAACCCTTATCCGATGATAAAAGAGTAACGTGGATTTCAAGTGAATATTATTTAGATTGAATAATGCTGATTGTGCATCCTGAGGTTAGACAATTATTGATCGTATATGATTATATTATTCCTTGAACGTGATCAGCTCTTAGTTAATTTACTCTAATTGAGATCGGCGTAACGTTTGAATTGGGGATTACGCTGACTCTATCGATCAGAACAATTAATTCCCTTCGAGACCTGTTAATAAGGAATACTATTGGCTCCGTAATTAATAATCTCACCACTTATTGCGCAAACTCCACGCGAATTTCTTCATAAGCCGATTTATATCTACGGAATTTGTTGTAAATTCATTATTTTTGCGAGGTTTTTAACATTTTTAAAATATGTAATTTATCGTAAATATCGTTTCAGATAAGTGTGACGACATTTCAATGATTTATATCCACTGAATATAACAAAATTACTTTCTGTATAAATAAATATAGTATAGAGGATATGTATATATTGTTTATGTAGTACATACATACATATACGCTATGTCTGTCTAGGGGGTATTTGTACATAACATTGTAAGGTTATACAAAACCATTATTCTCTACTATTCTAGCTTTCGAAGTATGTATAGTTTTTATTCATACGGTACTATTTTCTGTTTTTTAAATGTTATGAATAAAGATACTTTGTTTAACAGTTAATTAGCGTTCTCGTATGTAAATTTTACTATTTAAAATTTATTTATATTGAAGAGCCCTACTTGACACACAAAGAATTAAAATTTCATTATTATTCTTTTTATAAAATCGGTACTATATTGCAAAAAAGACTTTCACTTGCAATTTTACTGCCACCACAACGCAACAAACGAGATTTGCATCTATCGAGGTTCCACTGTATTCTGTTTAGAAATATTTCGCGTACACTCGAGAAATATTTTAGAATTCGATCACAGAGGGAACAGAATCGATAAAAGTTATCGGAGTCTCGAGACTCACCTTTTCGTGACGTTGGATGATTTCAGGACTGTTTTCCTATTCCCATATGGACTTCGACGTCGACCGGAACACGAATGGAAGCGGTGACCCTTCGTTGGCCGAAATGGCGATAAAGGCGCTTCGCGTGCTGGCGAAGAATCCCGAAGGATATTTTCTCTTCGTGGAAGGTACGTAAAAAACGGAACAATAAGCGTAGTAAGTGCAAAAACGCGCACCATGAAACGTAGAAATAGAATTTATCGCCCACAGCGACTCACAGTTTCGTCTTTCCGTCGGCTCGTTAAGGGAAAAACGGAAAGGGAATATTTACTCGAAAATATGAGTGTTTTGAAACTGTCGTTGAGTCCCGAGACCGTTCGAAGTCCGTGATTTATCACGGCGGACTGACTAGAATAAAGCTCTTCGTTCGCGATGCAATCTCTTTACCTTGAAAACCACTTCCTCGCCCAGATTGTGGTTTTTGATACTCGTATCTCGTTTAAGCTTGTCGCCAAGTTCCTACAATTTCACGTTTCTAAATAGTTCTTCTAGAAAATCGTGATATTCGTGCGATATACATAGTTTTCTATACACAAATAAATACACAATAAATATATAAAATGCTTAAATAAACTTTAAATAAAAAAATTGAATTAATAAATATTCATACATCCGTGTGAGTCGTTTTAAATATTTAACAAATTGATTTCTCATTAATAACACACTCGTTGTATAGACAAATAAATACATAAAACAATATGCTTAAATAAAAAAAATATAATGTCGGTTGAAGAATTGATAAATATTCATACATTCCTTTGAATCGTTTTAAATATATAACAAATTGATTTCTCATTAATAACACACTCGTATCGACATATAAATACAAATAAAACAACATGCTTAAATAAAAATTAAATAAAAAAATATCCGTTGCATAATTATTAAATATTCAGACATCCATTTGTGTCGTTTTAAATATTTAACAACTTGATTTCTCATTAATAACACACTCGATATATAGACAAATAAATACAAATAAAACAATATGTTTAAATAAAAATAAAAAAATAGAATATCGGTTGAAAAATTGATAAATATTTATACATTCCTTTGAATCGTTTTAAATATACAAGGTGTTCGGCCACCCCTGGGAAAAATTGTAATGGGAGATTCTAGAGGCCAAAATATGACGAAAATCAAGCATATCAAATTTCTTGCCTGAGGCTTCTTTAAAAAGTTATTAAAAAAATTAAATTCAGAAATTTCAAATCATTCTGAAAAAATTATTTTTGTTTGCGGGGCTCAATTACAATCATTTTTGGTGAACACATGCCCCAAAAATCCTACCTGCTTTCGAGAAAAAAATTCTTGTAGGTACTGATATTTTTAGACGAAATTAAAAAATTTCAAATCATACTAAAAAAATTATATTTAGTTACAGAGGTCAGTTACAAGCATTTTTGGTGAATAGACATACCCTGAAATCCTTCGCACTTTTAAGAAAAAAAATTCTTCACCGAATATCTAATGTGAGACCAGAAATGCTACCCTGAAATTTCATGCGAATATTTAAAATGTCATGACTTCTGAACGGATTGGACGATTTTAATAGAAGAAGAATATGTAGAAATTCCAAAAATATTCGAAAATTATTTCTTGACCCTGTAAAGTGAAAAAAACCTTATGAAAATGCTGAAATTTTTAAACAGCCATAACTCCTGCAATAGTTAATACATTTCAATGAAACTTTTCTCTGAAGCAAAGCTCATGGGTATTTACAAAAAAGTATTAAACAACTTTTCTATAGGGCGTCATACAAAATTACTAAAAATCAAAAACGAATTTTTAAGAAAAATCGACAGGGGTGCCCAATTTTTTCAGCGAAATTGAAAAATTTCAGATCGTTCTGGAAAAATTATTTTTGGTTGCGGGGGTCAATTACAATAACTTTTGGTGAGTAGACCTACCCCCGAAATTCTACACACTTTCTAGAAATAAAATTCCGTACGGGCGGAACTTGAAACGTTAATAACTTTTTAACGAAGCCTCCATCAATAAATTGGTATTCTTACTTTTCGTTTTATTTTGGCCTCTAGAATCTCCCAGGGTGACCGACCACCCTGTATAACCAATTGATTTCTCATTAATAACACACTCGTTGCATAAATACAAACGAATGAAACAACATGCTTAAATAAAAATTAAATAAAAAAATATCTATTATGGAATTAATAAATATTCAGACATCCATTTGAGTCGTTTTAAATATTTACCAACTTTCTTATTAACAAAATACTCGTCTTCGTTTATTTGATTTATTTTGTACCCAGGCGAAGGTAGTGTCCATGTCTACTGTTTATTCAGATTCAAGAAAAATTCTTTGCGCCCACGTATACATAAGATGTCGTTTCCCCCCGTTCGTGTTTATAATCGCGTAATTCAAATTCCTCGCTCAGAATACAGTTGAACCGATGCTCCGTAGAGTATTCCTTCCTCGTATAGAAAAGCGGGAACATTGAGTCAGCGTTCTGTACTTTATGGAGTTTATAGATTCCCAGCTCCCAGTAACTGGCATGCATGTCTCGCGTTCTTTCATCGCCGGAGAAAAAGGCGTTTCTTCGACTCGAAGATACAAGCTTTTTCGTCCTCTCCTTGGAAAGACTGCTGATCCAACTACCCCCGCGAACCATTTCTCGCCTATATCTGGTGTTTCCTTCGGCTCAGCATCTAGAATATCTCTGTTTCTGTCGAGGATTCCGAAAGGATTCGCAGGTTATTTGTTTTGTCAAAATAAATACTTTATATACATAGAATAAAAATACACATTCAAAGGAAAGCAAATGATCTTATATAGGAATTGAATTAGAGTCACATTATTATATGATGTTGGCGCAGTGAGGAAAAACAAGTTGATTAGGAATAATAAACGATAATATATTTAATAAGAACAAATAGTAGGAATATATGTATGTTAATAATTATTAATATTAATGAGAACAAAGTATTTTTACATGTTTAACACACGCGGCGCATACAGCGAGCAAGCCGAGACAACAAGGGCCCAACGGTGGGCCTCAATAACACGCGTTTTTTATCTGCTTCACGCGCGCGAATTTTAACTAGTCTACATATGAATTCACAGTATTTCTGGTACGTTGAAAGTTAAAAGTTAGAAATTAAATTAGATCCACATTATAGTTCTAAATGGATATCTAGTTACGAAACAGAACTATAAAACGTGGATCCTAATAAGAACAAAAGACTTTGTTTTTCTTCCCATGAAAGTAATTACAGTAAATCAAGTTTATCAGAAGACATGCTGGGAAATATTTAACGTTACTAGACTATCATTAGAGATGGGTAAAATGTATATCTAAATACAAATTTCTAAGAATAAGAGCTAAATAAGTGCACCTATATCCAATAACCTTTAAATAAAAGTCTTACACTATATTATTGTAATAATATTATGAGTCTCGAATATAATTCGTTAATAATATCAAATATGCTTCCCATAAATATTTGAGTTTACTACATACTTGCCAATTAGTCTACTATAAGCATGTATAACTACAGGCACTATGTATTTATGAAAAAAGAATTAAAGGAAATGCATTTTTTGACTCTAAACGAGTGAAATAATCTCTTCAAACAGAAACAGATCTCTCTTTGTAGCCCGGAGAAAAAAATGGAGAGGAATTTATGGAATTCGGTTGAATCGCGATTTGTACGGTGGAATCGTACGGAAAAAGCGTTTTTCCAAGTAGCGCGGAACGCACAAGCGAACTGGTCCGAATATGTTCACATACCAGTGAAAATGAAACGATTTAGAAAAATGTAACCTCCCCTAATGTAGTATGGCAATTTGTACTATTGTCTGTCATCCCCACCTTTCGACTGCCCGTCTCGTTAAATTGCGAGCGTGCAATCGCATTTGTAACAATCGTTTCCTGTACAAAAATCACTTTGAATGTCAGACATACTTCAACTAATTTCTTTGTGCGGAACCAACCGATTTTATTTGGTAACTCGGCCTTGTAATTTTGAAAAAACGTGAAACGTGAGCTCCGCGAAACATTCATATTCTATAATACATGACAACTGTATAGTAATGATTCTTAAAATGAATTTCAGATATGATTCGTAAGTTGAACATTTCTATCCCTCCCGGCTGGTAGACGAGAATTCATTTCCCTTCTCCTTCTTCTGAACATCTGTTTCGCGGCAAACGACTATAGTAATGATTCTTAAAATGATGCCCAGATTCATAAATTGAACATTTCTATCCTCCTTGGAGCCAGTGAAGCGTGAAAGGCGACATTTGAAAACGATGTGAGCTACGTATAATAGTTGATGTTAAAATCCACCTCCACTGTACGAAAGATGAACGTGCCAAGCCCAAGGCGACGTTCATTGTAAGAATCATTACTGTATTGTATGCGTTTTTCTTATCAGTTGAATGGAAAATCAATGAACGAATATTTTTGAAATTTTATGCAGGCTTTTGGCATTTGAAGGGCTTCGACTTTGTTACCAACAATAAACAAATATTTGTTAAAGATATTTATACTTATGATGTTTTGTACGCACTCTACTTTTAAGAAACTGCTTCAGTTATTATTGGATTTTAGCCTAATATACTTCATTTGTATTTATATATGTGTTTTGTTATTAATAAATGAAGTATTATATTTGTGTGAGAAATTGGGTGTGTTCACACGACGATGCACGGACATTTTAAGAACGCGTCCTTCCGGCGCCTACTTGTACTCGTACAGGCATTAGCCTCATCTGTTCTTCTTACTGTTTCTAACAACTGTTTATCCAACCGTATGTGTTACATGTCGCATCTCCGACGAGCTGTTCTATATTTATGGCGTATATTATATCGGGCACTTAATTAATATTCCCTTAACTGCGTTTAATAACCAATAGTTTGCAACTAAGTTTTCTTTATTGCAAAATAACCAGTTTAACGTACTCCGTGAGACTCGATAGTACAATTTAACAAATTCAAAATTTTTATCACAGATATTTATAAATTATGAAACGTTTGCATTATTGTTTAAATAAAACAAGCCTCTTGTTATTCGGTGACGGAGTATGTAGCCATATGACTACAGTGGAAATGAAAAGGTTAAGTAGTTGGAATTAACAGTGAATGTACATTGTGACAACGTTGGTT